TTATATATTTTTTTTTGGGGGGGGAGAATCAAACTATGTATTGTTGAGAACGATGAAGCATTTCAAGAACTGATGTTGTAAACTTTTCAAACACTGAAAATTTTCTTTCATCTGTGCGGGTTCATTCGTGTGCTGCTGTATATAATCAGTTCATCTTGAAAAACTTGAGAAGAATCAGAGTGCGTTTCAGAGGGGAGGAAGGGGTGTGTGTGTGCGCGCGCGCACGGAGGGGAGGGGCTTTCCTAAAAGAAAGGGGGTTTAAATGTTGATAACTGGTGGCAATTTTACCTCCCGCTTCTACTTTTTACAAATGTAGATGTAACGCCAACGAAACCTCAGCATTGTTCTGTTTTACACCCCTCCCTCCATTCCTCCCTCCTTCTCTTATCCTCTTCTTCTCTCCATTGGACCTACTGTACTCTTCACCTCTTCTTCATGGACCTAAACACCCTCCTCTTCCTCCTCCCCTCCCTGGTCCGGTCCAGGTTTCAGAGGAAAAGGAGGACTGCTCTGTCTTACTGTATTTTGTCTGTTTAACTCTGAGATGGCCATTACTATTGTTATTATTGTTATTGTTATTGTTATTATTATTATTATTATTATTATTATTATTATTATGATTATAATGATGAACTTTCATGTTGCTGCTGCTATATAAAAACCGGACCTTCTGCCATAGACCTGAAACCTCAACAAAGCCGGGCGTTAGCTAGCCGCAGTGCCCCGTGAAAACCCGACCAACCGTCCAACCTCCTGCGACCTCCACTGCAACTTGACCACAACAAAGCAAAAACAACACGAAGACTGACGGGAGAACTAGCTTCATCCTCTCACATCTCTTCTCTCTCTGACTGGTTGGTTGGTGTCTTTGTTTTTGCTTCATAGGGCTCGATTCATGTCGTGTTTTGTGACTTTCTAACTGTGAATTCTTTAAACCTCGTTTCAATTTCTTCTCATGTTTTCATCCTCTGGAGGGTGCAGGAAGGGATAGTGCATCTTTACCATGGCACTCGGTTCAGTGTAGAATGCCGATTTAATTTTTTGGTTAATCCAGAAGGAAAGAAATGAGATGGCACTCAATTCCTGCAGATAACTTTAAAAGAGAAAGTAAATCCTTCATTTTTGCTTTCAGCCATGTTGACATTATGCCATATGAAGGCAGTTTTTGTTGTCTTGCCCTGCAAGTAAAACATTATATTTATTGGAATACCTGATTGCTCCTGCAGCCTCCCGTCAAGCCCTCTTTGTTAAAGAAAAAGTTTGACATTTTGCAAAATTGGCCTGTTATTTTCTGCAAGTTAGATGAGAAGATTAATGCCACTCTCATGTTAAATAGAAAGCTGGAACTAGCAGCCGGTAAGCTTAGCTGGAAACAGGAAACAGGGACAGCTAGCCTGGCTCTACTCACAGGTAATAAATATCCACCTGTCTCTGGAGACTCCAGGAAGTTACTATTCCTGGCAGAGAAATATTTCAACTCATTGGACGACCTGAGACATGAGTCGTATCAATCTTCTAATTTCTCAAAATGTCAAACTGTTACTTTTAGGGAGTTGTAACATTGGCAAGAAGCAACTCAAATTTTTATCACCACTATGTAGTTTTGTCTCTTGGTACTGTTGCTAAAAAAAAAGACACATTTTGTTAAAATTTTGTATGAAAAAGCGTTTTGAACCACATGACGCACCCACATGCTCCTGGTTTCACTCAGCAACCTGCAGCACAGAAGAGGTTTGAAAATGAACAAAACGTGACTTATTGTATCGTCCCGAGGCATTGCTCTGTGTACTGTGCTTCTACTGTAGTTCCTACTCAGTTCGACTGTCGTGTCACCGTGATTTGCTCCCTTTTTGCACACTTAGTGAAACAAGTCATCTGTGATTTGAAGGGGGTGGGGGGTGGGGGGTCTCTCTGTGTGGGTATGCATGTTTCCCCCAGCTTGCACTGCTGAAGTGAGACGAGAGCGGAGGAAGAGGTGTGGTGTTTTTTTTTTGCAATGCAGTTGATAATCATAGCATCCACTGGTCTTTTAGATGGTTTTGTGTTGGTGACGGGCTGCCCGCAGTGACAGTCAGACGGTTAAATCTGGATCATACGCGCTGGAATGGCGAGCTGCCGGGCTACAGAGCAGAGGAACACGTGAAAAGCCATTTGTTCAGGAGGTCGTATCCGTTAAAAACCTCCATCCAAACTCTGATGGATTTACATTCATGTGCAATGTCAGAACCATCACATTGAGTTCAAATTGTTTTGAAATGTTGAAAAATGTAAATTATTTAATTTATGGAAGATTAGATGTAGAGTTGTAAACGTTTTTTTTTTGTTTTGTTTTGTTATTTTTCACAAAAAACGGGAAGCTCTGTTTAAAGTGTAATCATTACTGAATGACACAAGAGATATATGCAAAAAAACGACCCAACTAGAAGAGAAGGAGGAGAGAAGAAAGGGAGGATGATGTCGGAAGAGTCAGACATGTTGCCGTACAACCTTCATCTTAGAGCTGAAGTCATGTTTAAGAAAAGTGGTCATGGTTAGATTTTAGTTTTGTATTTGCCTAAAACTTAAGAAAATTTGATTTGAAAAAAGAGGAAAATCTCACAAATGTCATTAAATCTTGCTAAATCCACTGAGGTACAATCAATATTTCCTCTATTTCCTCTCCAATTTTAGCATTTTTATTGGATTAAATATTGGAGGGCACATTCACAACCGCCTTCGTGAGACCCAACATGAGACACTAGACACCAGCATCCCATCCTTCTGTCCTCCTGTTTGATCCTCACTGTGCTCTCTGATACTGCCAATGCTTTGGTTGAGTCAACACTGAACACCGGGCAGGTTTTCAGTGTAAGGGGGAGGTTCGGCACCTCTGGGACACCTGGATTGGTCCAGGCGCGCTCAATTGATCTATGAAAGAACTGTTTAAGGATTTTTCTGTTTGGTTGATCCACACTCTGCTCTGCCTGAGGGACCTGAGTCACATACAGCAACCAGCCAGTTAATGGGAACACATCAGTATATCATTCTGATGGGTTTTTTGTCCTCTTATCAGATATGATTTATGTTTTCCTGCTCACCACAGCTGCAAGGAAACTCACCGTAAAACCAGTTTTAGAAAGCAGTAATATATCCAAGAGTTTTCCAAACAGGAAAAAAGTGTGATGGGTTGGGAAACACTGAATACTTGTAATTTTACAAGGAAAAAGATTAAATTTTAACAACTTAAGTCTGACAGTAGAGGAGCCTGTGTGAGCTGTGTCTGTTGGACCTGGTCCCTCAGATCAAAGCGGGATCGAGCGGTTTTCAATTTCAGGAAGAATTTCCATCCCGACTCAGACGGATTCAGTCTCAACTGAGCAGATGGGGTGGACGTTCATTTTACCTCTAACTGTCAAACGTTCTGAAAACCTCGCAAAATGTGTTTTTTAAGAAACAAAGGAAATTCATCAACAACCACACTGTTTCAGATCACAGTGTTTAATGGGTTTGAAATGGTTAAATGTGGATTTATTATCTGTATTGAAAGGTGAAATCAAAAAGAAAGGAATAGTGCCACAGTTGGAGTTGAGACCAACATTTCACATAACTGAACTCCTACAGTCTTTGTTGGAGAGTCGAGAGATCGGAGCCTAAAATTAGCCTAAAAGCTGTTGAATTTTTCTCACACTTGTTCTGATGAGGTTGGATCAGTGGAAAAAAAGTTTTATTCACTTTTGGTTTCCCCCTGGCATGAAAATGTTGAGCAGCTTAATATGCTGTGTAAATGGTGAAGAGGCTCTTACTGCAGTTCATCCCTCACTTCCTCCCTCCTCCTCCTCCTCTGACTTTGATTCTTGATATTCTTAGCTAAAAACTCCTCCAGGACAAACCGCTTCTTTTAAATGGCATCTGGGAGTTTATTTTTAATTTTTTTGTAGGAATAAGTCATCTTCGCAAACACAAACTAAACCGCTGAGATCGTCCCGAAAGTACAAAAGGAAAAAAAGTGCCCGAGTTTAGTTCTTTGGTCAGGCTTTAGCAAACGCTGCTTCACTGACTTTAGAGTATTTGAAGTGATAATCAAGTAGTCTGCCAGAAGAGCCAGGTAGGGTGGCATTTGGGACTTTTTGGACTTTCTCATTGGTTCCTAAGTGTCCACTACAGAAAAGACGTTCTTGAGTTTTTATACACGTGTTTTTGAGCCCATGTCAGTTTACTTCAAAGCTGCAGAACAGCACCACAAAGAACTAAAAACACCAACAGCTGTATAAAGAAAAAAAAAATAGGCAAATGACAATCTTTAGAAAGGTGTAATTTGCTCACTGTTTGATTTCCATTCCTTCTGTCTGTTATATACAGTGGGACAGACAGAATCCGAGTGTTTAAGCCGTAATCAGAGCGTTCGTACTCCTCCTCTTCCTCCTCCTCCTCCTCTTGTTGTTAACGTCTCCACTGGTTGAGCAAACAGCCGACACATTTCTATCTGATTTCTATTTTTTAGTATTACATGATT